TGCTTCATCTGCGACACTCATATTTTTGCTGTGCGTGAAATAATTCCGCTCAAAATGGAATGACGTTTCGTGTTTTAGGTTAAATAGTTCAGTTAATTCATCACAGCACATTAATGATTGAAATGTAAAAATAATTTTGCATTAGTGGCTTTGAAGACACGGTTGACCTAATTGTAAAGAAAACCGCTTGGGGCTCACGTCTCTCAACACGTGAGAGGACGCTAAGTGCTTCACTCGTCTCAAACACGGAGTAATTGCATGCAGTATTAACGAACTACACCGCAACTCTCTTGGAGCCAAAGTCTTCCTCCTGTCATGTCATAAATGAAGGAAGGGCGTCTTAAAGTCTGTGTCTCCTAAGTTAAGAAGAAAAACCTGGAGACACTTGCAGTAGCAACAAACATTGAGAAGATAGGTGGTGAGGAGGAGACTTTGATCTCCCGTCTCCCCTCAGGTGGAGAGACAAGCGAAAGATCTTCCTCCGCTTTCTTATCAAAAGCTGTCACTGTCACGTCATGTGTGAGAGATGGCTAGTGATTGAATATTGGTTCTTCAGTAAATATGAGACAGCGCTGACTCGTTAACCTCCTCCTCACGACGTGTGCCACCAGGCGGGGTCCTCCTTAACTCCCATGACAGGCAGGGAAAGTCTTCTCAAAATACGAGACATAGCGCAGGCTGCGTGAGTCGACTTCAGACACAACATAATACAGGGTGGGTGTCTCTCTCCTCGTCCACGGCCATTACGGTAGTGTGTCAGTCAAGTGGCAATGACAGACAGCTGACTTTACCCTCATCTCTTTCAGGAGTTGAGCTCACCTTCTCTTAGGGACGTGTGTGTGTGTGTGTGTGTGTGTGTGTGTGTGTGTGTGTGTGTGTGTGTGTGTGTGTGTGTGTGTGTGTGTGTGTGTGTGTGTGTGTGTGTGTGTGTGTGTGTGTGTGTGTGTGTGTGTGTGTGTGTGTGTGTGTGTGTGTGTGTGTGTGTGTGTGTGTGTGTGTGTGTGTGTGTGTGTGTGTGTGTGTGTGTGTGTGTGTGTGTGTGTGTGTGTGTGTGTGTGTGTGTGTGTGTGTGTGTGTGTGTGTGTGTGTGTGTGTGTGTGTGTGTGTGTGTGTGTGTGTGTGTGTGTGTGTGTGTGTGTGTGTGTGTGTGTGTGTGTGTGTGTGTGTGTGTGTGTGTGTGTGTGTGTGTGTGTGTGTGTGTGTGTGTGTGTGTGTGTGTGTGTGTGTGTGTGTGTGTGTGTGTGTGTGTGTCCCTCAAAGGTCGTGGAGTAGACGAGCAAAGTTCCCAGCCAACGTCTCTCCTCTTCATTAACGCCAGAGTTATGAACACAATTATCATTTCGCCTCTCAGGAAAATCTTTCACCGCCACCAGCTGCTGACACAATATGGAACAGTTAGCAGGATATTATCTACTATAACTCTAAGCCAGAAGGAAAACCTGACACTTTGAGAAACCTTTCCATGGAACGCTGTTGTCGCCAAGTTAAATTAGCCGTAAATATAAAGGAAGTCTAACACAAACCCAATAGTATTCTGGGAACTGAAACATAAAACACAGATCGTTGGTCTTGCACGTCACGCTTGGCTGAGTTTAGTTCAGCAAACATGCATGACCCCGAGAGCAGTGGATGCTTTTATCATGCAATATTTATTTCTTCTGTTTGTGAAGTAAGACATATTGAAAACTGACGAGTGTAAATTATGAAAAACATTGAATAAGCATTTGTCACCTCTTACATCCGTCATGAGATGTTATTTTCTGCCTTAGAGTGTGATAATACTCGCACGTCAAACATATTTAACAAAAGGTAATATTACCATCACAATACAGTACCATATCATTACCATAACATTACCATCACATGAACGTGAAAATGGGGATAAAATAATATACTAAAAATAAAAGTACAATAGTAAAATAATACTAAAAATAAAAGTACAATAATGTATCCATTACCTTCACAAACATGCTATGTATTTATTTCAGCTTTACGATCTATTGTTTAAAAATGTATACACCTGGAAGCCTTACGAGCAGCTAAATTTATTCACATCATTAGTACAGGGAAATTTACACGGACGGTAAACTTTTATCGAATGTATAAAAAAAAAATATTGTTTGTTTGTTTGTGTTTGTGACGGAGTTTGAACTTGTACGGAAAATAAGCGAAGGTAAAGTCAAAAGAAAATAGAGAAGCAACAAACAGAGGGAAAAGTTAGCGATACTTTTTTGTGAACGAGGATGAGAAAAGAGTCCTGGAGGAGGTGAGGGCTCTTCGTGTACGTTGTCAACCTCTTATGTACGTTGTCAACCTCTTATGTACGTTGTCAACCTCTTATGTACGTTGTCAACCTCTTATGTACGTTGTCAACATCTTGTGTACGTTGTCAACCTCTTATGTACGTTGTCAACCTCTTATGTACGTTGTCAACCTCTTGTGTACGTTGTCAACCTCTTGTGTACGTTGTCAACCTCTTATGTACGTTGTCAACCTCTTATGTACGTTGTCAACCTCTTGTGTACGTTGTCAACCTCTTGTGTACGTTGTCAACCTCTTGTGTACGTTGTCAACCTCTTATGTACGTTGTCAACCTCTTATGTACGTTGTCAACCTCTAATGTACGTTGTCAACCTCTTATGTACGTTGTCAACCTTATGTACGTTGTCAACCTCTTGTACATTGTCAACCTCTTGTGTACGTTGTCAACCTCTTGTACGTTGTCAACCTCTTATGTACGTTGTCAACCTCTTATGTACGTTGTCAACCCCTCGTGTACACTATCAACCCCTCGTGTACACTATCAACCCCTCGTGTACGTTGTCCCACCCCTGTACGTTGTCCCACCCCTCCAATGCTATGTTTCTGTACCTGTACCCTCGTTAACCACCCCGTATCCTTAATAAGGTCATTAGCACCGATAAACAATTTGACGTGTAGCAGTGTAGTGAAGATGACGATGGGGAAAAACTGCATGAGAGAGAGAGAGAGAGAGAGAGAGAGAGAGAGAGAGAGAGAGAGAGATTTTCATGTAGTCGTTATATTCATTATTAACTCAGAATATAACGTATCATTATCTCCAGGTAAAAATGTGATCAGAATTGGGTTATATATAAATTTATCATGTGAACACTGTTGGCCAATCAGAATGTAAGATTGATTTAAACCTGTAATATCAATTTATTTCATTCATTATTATATAGTTTCAAAGTTCAAAAAGTATGAAAGTATGAATAATTTGATCTTTCTTCATGTTGTATCAGTAAAACTTAAAAAAAAAATATCAAATTATTTACTTCATCTTTTTTTTTAATTCTAAGTTTATCTCACGTCAGTCATGTTGAATAAGGAAAAACACCTGATAATTAATGAGTCGAGGTTGTTGAGTTACACAGGTATACGTGTTATTAGACTCCTGTGCTTAGTAAGTTTTACCTGTTTAAGAGCAATTATGGCTAATTAGTATGCATAATATTCGTTCATTATCCTCTGAGGTATTTAAGGTGTTAAGATAAGTGAGAGTAAACAAAACTTCTATGAAATCTGACACTTATTAGGCTTTTAAGAGTCTATTCGTCTTCAGTAAGAGCCTTATAGCTATGCAAGAGATCCCGCTAATTATATAATATTATTTGTCTCTAAGCAAGTGTAAACAGTTTAATTAAAAATGAATTCGTATTAAGGTTTCCAGTGCGTTTAGGAATTTATAAACACGAAACAAAAACCCAGATTAATAATACGTAAATCACGATCATTAGGTGACACGGTCTTTGAGCCTCACATGTACTAGTAAATATCAAGTCTTAAGCCTCTTTGCGAGTTAGTGATTCTTCCCTGAGGTGTAACGTGAGACTTCAAACTTGGCTAAATCTTTTAACTTCAATGTGTGACTCATGTAAAAACGACGATATTGTTCGAGCATTAGTGTTCTCTCTCTCTCTCTCTCTCTCTCTCTCTCTCTCTCTCTCTCTCTCTCTCTCTCTCTCTCTCTCTCTCTCTCTCTCTCTCTCTCTCTCGTTGACCTAAAAATAGCGTAAAAACAAGACTATTTATACCTGTCTTGCATTAATAAACCTTCATAATCCTTGTATAAATTATAGTTCAGAATATGGTTGGTTGTAATGATACTGTGGTAACTCTTAGACCCCAACCTACCAAAGAACATATATTATTGTACATAGTTAGACACGAGAGAGCCGTTGCCGTGAAAAAGTGGCCCAACCAGAAACACTTTTCATGCCTTAGATTAGCTTTGTGTTGTGTTAGGTGTTGATGTTACATGCGAAGTCTCCGTTATATATTATATTTGTACACACTGTGACTCGTACCCCTCTCGATAGGGTTGTCAAAATCCTTCGTCCGTTGTCATATTGTCTAACATATAACTTTAAAAGATGTTTTTGGGGGGGGGGTTGTTTACAGGTGTGATCCCCCCCACTACTCTACCTTACCTTATGCTCAGGTAACTCCATTTAACATGTGGTATAATACTCTAATACTTACACACACATTAACTCATCCATGCGGTAGAGTTAGAGAGTGTTTTTCAAGCGTGATTATGCTTTTGTGTTTGGAAATATTATAATGGAGCAACACGTGATGAAGGTGCTTTAAAAGGGGGCAACATCCTCACCCGCCACAAAAGGAAAGAGAAAATCGATGAAACACTCACAACACAACATGCAACACAATACAACACACAACAGAGGACACAACACAGTAACTGTTTTAGCAATCCGATAATATTTTCCTTCCCTTAACCTGACAGAGCTGCTCTTTAAGTTCCCCACGGTGAGAGTTAACCATTTTCAGGCTACTTCTGACAAAACTTACCGCATGGAGAGGCCGGGACTGAATAAACTTAGATCATCTTAAGTAACCTTACCATACAAAGAGGCAGAAGCATAATACTTAACATGACCAAAGTTGAAAGAACTTACCGTAGTAGACCTCTTGTCAGGACCACAGCAACTCCAGTTATCAAAGTTAAAGGACCTTACCACAGAAGGCAACGAGGCAGCAGGCGAAGGTGAAGGTGGCTGTAAACGTCCCAACACCACCATGACCTCCCATCTTCTCAGTCCTGATGTTAACGACGGGGTGAATGACCGCGTGGGGGTGGGGGATACACACAAGAGTTCCGTCTCCTTGCTTTCTCCCTCAGTGATGGATGCCAAGTCTTGTTTCCTGAGCACCAATGTTTCCTGCTGCTTCCTGGTGGTGGCCTTCTCACTCACACATGTCTCTCTCTGCTCTGTACGTCATATGATGCCTGTGCCATGTCTTAGGTAGAGTGTCAGGATGAATCATTTTTTTTTCTTACGTTATTCCTGTTCATTTGTCATTTGAATATTTATACCATTTTGAGATTGTGAAAACTTTTCCTCTCGTTTTTACCATCAACTGTAGATAAAATGTGAAGGTTCTATTGTGATATGATTTGATACATTGATAAGGAAGGTTTGGTTATCTAGAAACATTATTATTTAGGTTTTGTGTGAATATGGACGACGCTGAGCTTATTATATAGTTGAGTCTAGGTCAAGTGATACTTAGTCTTAATATGTTCAACCTTAATCTAACCTTACTTAACCTAACCTAATCTAATCTAGATTAACCTAACTAAACCTAACCTAACTAAACATAACTAAATATAACCAAACCTAACCTAATCTAACCTAATCTTAAATAAACTTAACCTAATCTGACCTGACCTAACCAAACCCATTACTACTACACCTGGTTGATGGTAACTCCACTACATCCACCGTGTTGTCAGTACACACCAGCTGACCATCACTATCTACACAGAGTTAACACGACGGGTAATGATGACGAATATGTAACGCTTAGCAAAAATTTTCATCCATTCAGCGTTTGGTTCGTCCTATTTTTACCCATTATGCATAATTAGTGAAAAAACAGAGGGGATCTTTTTTTTTATACTAGATATGGACTCAACACCCTCCAATGGATGACCCAACAACAAAATTTTGTATATGTCGCTTGATGATTTATTTCATTGTAAAAATTCACTACCAATAAATATCCATCAATGTACGTAACGAACCTGTGTGTTGACTTTGTAATTTAATATAGATACCGTTCATACACGTAAACCTCTGCATGACTCAGGGTTTCACTGAGTCATCAACCTTCGTCAGAGTTAATTGGAGAAATATTTATAAACGTGTAAAGATAAGTGATTATTTTGGTTAATACCTGAGTGAAAACTACACTTGATATAAAAACAAAAAACAAAATCCATCACAAGTAAACAACATAGATTAGTCATGTCAGAAAAGGTGGGAGATTGGATAAATAACGCAGGTAAAAGTCAGTTCAAGAGTGTTAGTGAGATATGATGCACAACGACTCACAACATCATTAAATGTTAGACGCCGCCAGTAGTGTCTTGGCCACCTGAGCAACTTGATGTATATAACGGTAACCACCTGTCTGGAAGAGTTGTATTGATAACCAGCTGTCGGTGGGGCAGTATATGTAACCACCTGTGAATGTGTGTCTTCCAGTAACCACCTGTCTGGAAGGCTTATTTTAGTAACCAGCTGGCTAAGTGGAATTTTCATCTGAGTAACAGTTGGTTCAAATCAGGAGCCAGCTGGTAGGTGGGTTATACCAGCTGGTTGAATGATGATGTCATTAGGGAAGAGTAATAATGATGGTGATGACAGAAATGGCCCTGGAGTTTATGAATCGCGAATTAGTAAACAGATAAACTGCTTAATGGTCCCCTTCCCTCCTCACCCTTCCTACCGCCATCACCACCACCCATCACCAACACCCATCACCAACACCCATCACCAACACCCTCTCCACCACCACCGCCACCCATCACCAACAACCTCTCCACCACCATCACCCATCACCAACACCCTCTCCATCACCGCCACCCATCTCCATCACCGCCACCCATCTCCATCACCACCACCAAAACCTCTCCATCACGTCCATCAAACACAACTGAGTTTATAGTAATGATGGAGACAGCTAATGTTTACCTCACCATGATGGTCAGCTGATTGTTGGCACTGTGGCACACCAACCCCTCCCACAGTGCCAGGAGAAAGTGGCTCATCAAACAGCACACAAGATTATCAGCCTCGGTTGCGTATACGGCTCAAAGGCAGCGACTCATCTTTTCTGGGCAGTCAGTCAGTCTCAGTCACTCGATAACAGCTTAACCCCTATATACATTTAACCTAATCTAGCCTAACGGAGATAAATTTAAAACGATCACTATTAAAACGTATGTATGTATGTATGAATGTATGTAGACAAGTAAAGATATATACATGGAGGAACACGTCGTTTCTTAATTCCTATGCATAATGATGAGTAGGTTAGGTTAGGTTAGGTTAGGTTAGGTTAGGTTAGTTTGGGGAAATTGGAGGAGATAGTTTACCTAAGTTTCAAGGTGTGAACAGAACTGCACCTCGTTTTCTGTTGTCTCTAGAAAGAAGTATACTGTTGAATATATTAGAGTATACCCATCTCAAGGTATACCCATCTCAAGGTATACCCATCTCAAGGTATACCCATCTCAAGGTATACCCATCTCAAGGTATACCCATCTCAAGGTATACCCATCTCAAGGTATACCCGTCTCAAGGTATACCCATCTCAAGGTATACCCATCTCAAGGTATACCCATCTCAAGGTATACCCATCTCAAGGTATACCCATCTCAAGGTATACCCGTCTCAAGGTATACCCGTCTCAAGGTATACCCATCTCAAGGTATGCCATCTCAAGGTATACCCGTCTCAAGGTATACCCATCTCAAGGTATATCCATCTCAAGGTATACCCATCTCAAGGTATACCCATCTCAAGGTATACCCGTCTCAAGGTATACCCATCTCAAGGTATACCCATCTCAAGGTATACCCGTCTCAAGGTACCCATCTCTCCATACCCGTCTCCAGTATACCCATCTCAAGGTATACCCATCCAAGTACCATCTCCACAATACAATACTTGGTCGACTATACGTGTGTGTGTAGCAAGTAGCAGGGAGGGAGGGTAGCAAGGGAGGAGCCTTGAGCAGGAGGGATTGGCAGCAGGAGGGAGGAGCAGGGAGCAGGCAGGAAAGGTTATGTTGTTCTTGTGGTGTGAGAGACGGAGGGCCCTGGTAGAGTATCAAAGCTTCCATACATTTTCTTACCCCAGATTTTCTCGTTTATTAACTACTATCTGTCGCGAATGTACTATATGATGACATAATATAAGAATAAAGAATACAAATTTACAAAGACGAGATAATGCACTTGTGAGATTTTTACTTTCATTGGCCAGTAAAGTCAGTTCAGTTTATCGCACAGATGAAGCCACTGTCACAGGTAGGTCACGCAAGGCAGTGGTTATTTTTTACTAGAAATGTTTTCCAATTTGTGGAGTGAGTTACACTGGGAGGTGGCAGCGGTGTTGGCCAGCTAGGAGCGTCACACACACACACACAACCTCCCTCTACCACAGCTCACACCAGACTGAAGCACCTCCAGGCTCCAACCACCGCCTCGCCACCACTACACTCTTTTCATCTTATCTTATTTTTCTTTGCGATTAAAAATTATTCTGAAAACGTGAATAATAATGAGCTCGTACTCCTTTACCTGCTATACGACGTTTTTTATAATGTTATATTATTTTTAGGGTGGATATCTTGTTCAGTATGAGCCAGAGGTAAATTTTTCTCGCTTGACGTCTGCTGTTGTCGTACTCAGTGTTAGCCACACCCAGGAGTGCTTCTTGTGTAATGTTTCACTACATTGCTTACGGTGTGTGCGTGCGTGTGTGCGTGCGTGCGTGCGTGCGTGCGTGTGTGTGTGTGTCCGTGCGTGTGTGTGTGTGATCTCATTCCCCTCACTGGCTCGTGGCTCTCCCAGGACCACTCATGACCTGATCATCACAATAACAATCACTGTCTGGGCCGTAGTTATCAGCTCAAGAGTTCCAAAGTGGCCGTCCGCGTCTACCTCTGGCAGATGAAGACGTTATTGGCTGCTTTAATGAATCGAAGTTGCACTGGTTTGACTGATGGATGTATATTGCGTGACAGTTTGTTTCCTTTGGTGCAGTTTAACTCATCCTTCAATTACCAGAAGACAGTTAAGTGATTCTCATTAAATATTGGTAGTTGATGTGCTCGAGCAGCGCCCAGGTTTAAATCCATTAATTGGTGGATTTGATCCTCTTTCACCCCGGCAAGATGTGGGTGAGGTGGGCCGTGTAGTGCAGCCGTCACTCGACATCGTTTTAATCAACGTGAATATGGTTTTGAATCTTTATTTTCACGTCGTTTGAACATAGGAATGACTTTGAATGCTCCCTAGTGGTGGTTAAGCCTTGTTACTGGTGACGTTATGCTCTTTTGAGGACTCGGGTGAATGACTTTAATCAATACTGACCAAACCTGAGAACGGTTCTTGATAGGAAAATATATTTATTGGAGTAGTGGGGAGGAGGAGGAAGTTACCCGTGTTGTGTTATATGTAGCACCGCCTCGCCCAGTGTACAGTATGTGTCCGTGCGTACTATGGCTTTGTCTGTGTACGTGGGGGTCCTTGTCTGTGTACGTGGAAGTCGTTTTCTGTACGTGGGCGTCGTTGTCTGCTAACGTGGGCGGTATGTGTAGGTGTTTCAAGCTGCAGGTGACAATCTACCTGACATTCATTTGAGTCGTCCACAAAATTTATTGATACACCTGATCTGAGTTTATACCTGGATTACCTGGGTTAATTTTCATATAACTGCAAAATCGCAACTAACGTGTTACAGGTGGTAAATACATTTCTATTTATGGGATCGGTTTTCAAGTGACTTTATAAATATTTGTTGGTAACTTATTTGTTTCAGGAGTCATAGGATGTAATTGTATTTAGTATTTTCGTATAGCTAACAGTTTCTCTTTAAATATAAGGGAAAATGGGTGTCCGTGTCTTTGTTTGTTTGTTTGTGTGTTTGTTTGTTTGTTTGTTTGTGTGTTTGTTTGTTTTTTGTGTGTGTGTTTGTTTGTTTGTTTGTTTGTTTGTGTGTGTTTGATTTCTCTGACAAGAGTTTTGAAGATAGAGAACTGAAAATTGGGATGGAAAGCCGCATGCAACCCAGAAGTGTCTCGTAAAGGGAATTTTAGAGGGTTGGCCCTTATTGTTGTCCTTTCCCACACCCTCCCCTCCCCACACCCACCCTCCCCACACCCCACCCTCCCCACACCCCCACCCTCCCCACCCCCCCACCTCCCACCCCCACCCTCCCCACCCCTCCCTCCCACCCCCCACCCTCCCCCCCCCCCTCCCACACACCCTCCCCTCCCTCCCCAACACCAACCCCCCACACCCACCCTCCCCACTGCCACCCCTCCCCCCTCCCACACCCCCACCTCCCCACACCCCCCACCCTCCCCAAACCTTAATGCAGAGGACAAAAATGTTTCAATGTGATTAAATATGAAGAAATATTGAACCCGCTGTATGAAACTGAATCCCGAACCCAATACTGTGTTGGACGTGACCTAGCTGTACGGTATAATGTAACGGTAGTGTGGAACCTTACTGGACCCATCATGGTGAACATTTTACAAACTACAGGGTGTTTATAAAGTTCCTTGATGTGTTTGTGTTTATAAAGTTCCTTGATGTGTTTGTGTTGATAGAGGCCCATGGTGTTTGTGTTGATAGAGGCCCATGGTGTTTGTGTTGATAGAGGCCCATGGTGTTTGTGCTAGTAGAGGCCCATGGTGTTTGTGCTAGTAGAGGCCCTTGGTGTTTGTGTTGATAGAGTCTCTTTGTGTTTGTGCTAGTAGAGGCCCTTGGTGTTTGTGCTAGTAGAGGCCCTTGGTGTTTGTGCTAGTAGAGTCCCTTGGTGTTTGTAATTTGTAAAGTCCCTCATTATAACATCGTAAACAATAGCTAAACCGTATAAAATAATAATGATATTCTCTCACACTCTTTTCGTCGTTCTCGTATCATCTTCCTCCTCTTGAATTTACAACATAATACACTCCTAACACAATGGTCGGTGTGCGGTTGTCTACCCACGTGAAATATTATGCCAACGTACTTTTCTGTGATGTCCTTTCTTGTGCCGCTACGGTCGACAGGAGGCAAGACGTCATTACCAAGCCACTCCACTCCACTCCTCTTCACTCCATTCCATATTCTAGTTGTTCCTCCTGCTGTATCACAAGCTGTTACTCCTCCCTTAAATACTGTTGTCACTTCATGTAATATGTAACGTACTGTAACCGTCATGCATATTCAGTATAAGACAGACAGACTCTCTCTCTCTCTCTCTCTCTCTCTCTCTCTCTCTTTATGGCTGTTCTTGTGGTCTCCATCCACCGCCATCCCTTATATCACTAAAACATTTGAGTTGAATTTACGTCTGTAATTTAAGTCACGTAATGCTGCGTTTAACAGCATCTGAGTCAGAGAGAGATTAAGATTACCTACCGAGTCTCGTGAGGTAAATTGTGATTTTAAACCCCTTAGGAGTGAAGTCCCTATGATTCACTGAGAGTAGTAGTGAAGGCGGTAGTAATGGTAGTGATAGTTAAGTGGTGATAACATTACCATAAAATAGTGGTAGAATTAATAGTAATATATCTGTTATAATATGTTTCTGTTGTGTAAGTAATAGCAGTGGTATTAACAGCGGTATAATAGTAATGATGGTAATAAGTAAAGTAGTATTAACGTTCAGGTAAAGGAAATATGAAAGGTATATTACTGAACAACACCTAACTTACCTGGAGAGGGTCATTGTTCTCACCTGGATGTAAACAGCGTGAAGCCCCAAGCGTACACCAAGGGAGACACACAATAATTACCCGAGATGACAAAAACAGTCACCCTCTGCAGTCAATAGAAAAACATACACAGAGGAATTGAATCACGTACTCTTGAGTGAAGCGGGAGATGTGAAACAATTCAGGCTCCATGATCTATTTGAAGAGCTATTGTACCTAAGTTTTTCTCGTACTGATGTTAGATTAATGTCTTCTTAAAATATGGTATCTGTATTTTTAATAAACTTTTCAGACTTTGTATTTTAAATTAAGTCTGAGAATTTGGCTTTTTTTTAGGAATCTTCGTCATAAAGGAATATATTTCGTCAGAATCTTGTGAATGAACCATAGTAATATCAGAGGAAAATTGGGTTATCACGTGAGCGAGCGGGTTCACAGGGTATGTGTTGTATATATTGAGTGAGTGATGCCACCTTTATACAGATTATCTTCATTGTTTAACGGGATCATAACTCACCTCAAGTCATTAGGTAATGTCGATAACAGGTGTTGACTCAATTAAAACTGATGATTAACAATTCCCTCTTCTGTATATAATTCCCATAAATGGTTTACATTGAAGTGATAGAAGTGTTCATGGATTAATACGTCGACCTTAGAAAAAAATAACGAATATTATCACCATAATAACTGGTTCTGTTAAAGCTCTCCCCTGAATAACATAACATAACACTATGACGGCAACAGATTTAAGCCAGACAATTGACCTTTAACCTTTAATCATTGACGTCGTTCTGTCTCGACCAATCCCAATCATATTCCACACTTGTCTCTTCAAAAACCTAAACCGGATCTCTAGAATCATTTTGTAGTTACCCGTATTGGTTCATCTATGAGAGTTATGTTACAAGTTTAGTTACAATGTTACAGTACACTTTACCGAGGGTGGAAGGAGCTGTGTTTCTATAATATTACCTGTAGCCAATGCATTAATCCGTGTGTACTAAGAGACTCGGTGCTTCTAGTGTGGTCGTTCACATATCTTTCTCTCTTGACTCGTACTCATCCATTGTCGTCATAATAATTCTTGCACATCCGTTTCTCTGTAGACAAGACTCATCATCTCCTCTTATTACTTTGTCTGTTTCTTATCTTTCGATATTTTTGCCGATTCAGTCAACTTTATGAATAGACATCCTGACTGGCTGACATCCTGACAGACGGATTCTCATGAAGAGCATTTTTGGCCAGGTTTGTGTCGACCAGACGGCCATGACTTTGCTTTATGGCCACTTTTTAATTACCCTTGTTGTTGTTATTTCCTCCCAGTCCCTCTCTCCCGCTGCTTAATATCACACACTGTATCAAGCTGTCAGCTCTCGCAAAAGCTGTGGGGTTTTTCCATGGTCAGTCGGCTCTATCTCGTCTCTCTCAAGCTACGTCGGCTAATACCAGTGTCAGCCTCTGAAGTGAAAGCAAATGTTTTCTTTATTGATTTAGAAACATTATTATCCGTTGTGTTTATCATTTATTTTGCATTTTTAGGGTTGTTATTGACCTTCATTACTTACTGAATGTTGTCTAGTTATTGATATTGTGATGGTGGTGTGTGTGTGTGTGTGTGTGTGTGTGTGTGTGTGTGTGTGTGTGTGTGTGTGTGTGTGTGTGTGTCTCGCCATACATTGTTGGCTTCGACTTCCAGCGTCTTAAATTGTATTAGTAAT